AAAAAGAATGTTATATATAAGGACAAATTATCAAAATTCGTCACTGTTTCATGACATAAATATATTCGATTTAATATCGATATCTTATATCTAGTTCCACAGAAGAAATATTTTTAAGGATTAATATTTTACCTTTTCTAATATAATCAATTACCTTGATAATATTTTTAAATAGCATTAATTTATATTTTCTGTATAAATATTATACTCTTTTTGTGGTATAATATATTTATTTATTTAATTATATATTAGAAATAAAAGACATGTTTTATATTTTAATTTGCAGATTAGCATTTGATTTTGCATAATTTATTTTATAAATATTACAAACAAAATTATACATTCCCTAAAATAATAACAAAAAGTTGTTTTTAGTAAAAACAAAATAAATAAATATATAATAAAATAATTTATTACATATACTTTTTATTTAAATAAATTTTTGATATATAATTATTCTTTTAAACAAGGCAGTCCAAATAAATATTTCAAAAGGATATCATTTATTTTAATGTGTATAAAAAATTTGATTTACTTTAAAAAATATATTCAACTATTAACACTTATTTATATTTACAAAAACATAAACATAAATAATATATGTATACATTATATTAACATATATGTTAACAATAATATATATATTGTATATATTTAAATTTAATTTATGTTACTGTTTGAAAAGTTGAGACGTCGCTTGGTGGCATCTAGGCATATATTACTTCTATTTTCCAAATCAACACTTTGAAGACTGTTATTTTCTAATAAATAATCCTCCAACTCATTAGAAGAATTGTGCCCACTATCAGGACTCACATTCGGTCGTTTTTCAAAGCAGTTATTTTTATTACCTGGGGCTTGCTCTGTGCTAGCCTTTTCAGTAAGTCTCTTCTTTTGTAGTAGTTTGCTGTATAAATTACTATTCTGAGGATCATTGACATCGGTTACTCTCTGCGCAGAGTTTTTAATACTTGAATTGATTTTATTTAATTTATGTTTACGTCTCACAGCACGTTGCCTTCTCAAATGAAAACTATTATTACGTCTCACCCTAGTACTAATACCAGGCGAACGCACTTCACGTTCATTATATTTTTGCTCAGCCCCTGCACCCTCCTGATGATATTTGCCCTTATGCCAAAACTCATGCAAATCACTTGCAGGATCATCAGCTGGTGTGTAAGTGGGTGACATGACAGCAGTAGCGTGCAGTTGCCTAAAATGTTTTGGTAACTTTTTCTCTTTTCGCGTACTTTCTAGTATAGCATCGATCATGCGTTCCAGCGTCACATCACCCATTTGTGATGAGGTTAGCGATACTTCTTCAGTTTTTTCAACACGAACGGCAGTTTTATTCGTAATACTTTTCGTTTCGGCGATATTACTTATTTGCTCCGTTGTGTTATTACTCAATTGTTCAACATTTAGATAGCGTGGCTTTTCGAAGTAAGTATCAGCTATACCCATACCACGTAACGCTAACATTGGACCTGGTACTAGACCACAAGGTGAATATTGTATATCAAAAGTGGGTAAGGTGGATGCATATTGTTTGGGCATATTGTTAGTAGGTTTCGTCTTCTGTGCTAAAGGCGTTTGGGCACAGTGTTGGTACTTGAGGCTATGACGGCATTTGGGTGAAGTGGTGTCTTGCACAGGTGTTATATTACTTAAGTCCTTAAGGCTATTTAGACGACGTATGTGTGTGGTAGAGGCATAACTATGAGTGGAATTAAGAGGTGTGGAAGTCATGTGATTTTCTTTTTCTAACCATTGTGTGCGTCTGCGGAGTAAGTGCATGTCTGAGGATTTGCGTTTCAGTTTACGTCTCTCAGTTGTTGTAACCAATACAGATGGTGTCTCAGCACAACGTATACTTAGTGCATCTAAAGAGTAACGTTTGGTATGGGCTCCTTCATTTTGAGTAGGTTCAAGTGTTTGAAGGTACGATTGTCTTGCACCTTTTACCGCCCATTTCAGCATTGCAACGAAATTTTTCTGAAAGTAATAAGAATAATAGTTTTGATTATATATATGATTAATTGTGGTATAAAAATTTATATATAGGAAACATTGTATAAGAAAAATTAAAATAATATGAATAATAAAATAATAATAAAATTAATAATATAAAGTTGGTCTGAAGGTTCAAGTTGTAATGACCTTTAATTAGAATATTTTTTTTTTTAATTACATTTTATCCGGAAGGTTTAATAAATAAAAAAAATATATTAATTATGTATATAATATATAATATAAATATATTACTTATATATAAAGTAATATAAAATAAGATAAATTTAAACAAAAGATGTAAATTAAAGTAAAACCTAAAATTTAAATTAAAGTTAAAAAAAATAAATTATGATTATGTTGTATAAAAAAAAAATTTAATAAAATATGATAAAAGAGAGTAAATTAAAAAATGTAAAATAATGTGAATAAAATAGTATAGAAAAAAATTAATTTCAAAACACAATAAAATAAGAATTAAATAAATGAAAATAAAATAAAAATAAAATAAATCAAAATAAAACAAAAATAAAATAAATTAATATAAAAATAAAATTTCATTAACATTAAATGAAAGTAAAACTAAATGAAATAAAATAAAACAAACTTAAACTTAACAATTTGAATTTATATATAAAATATACATTTTTATGTGTTTCTAAAATGACAATAAATGATATGAAAATAAATTAAAATAAGCTGACCTTAAATACAACAATAATAATAAAGAAGATTGAATAAAATAATATGACATAGAACTAAAATATATTAAAATTTTTAAATATTAAATTACACACAATAAAAATAAAATAGAAATAAAGTAATATAAAAAAAACAATAAAATAAAGTTAAACTTTATAAAAATAAAACAAAATAAATAAAAATAAATTACATATAAATAAAAATAAATTTACATATAAATAAATATAAAATTATATTTAAATAAAATAATTAAAAATATAATAAAACAATATAATTTTATATAAACAAAAAAATTTCTTTATGCTTATTTACCTATATTTGAAAATTATTCAACACATACAATCTTAATGCATATGTGTATATATCCTTTAGATATTTTAAGGTCTATTTTTTACTAACATAATTTTTTAAAAACCCCAAACTATTATCTAGCAGTCCTGTTATGTTAATTTATTTTTATTAGTAATATTAATTCAATTAAACACACAAACATATAAACAGCTCAACTAACCCTATCCAATTCTCAGCAATATCTCTAATTATTTGCAAAAGCTTAAAAGTCTTAAATCAGTAGTATATCCTGTCTATCAGCATTCAATGCAAGTCCTTTTAAATATAAATCCTGTTGTATGCAAGAAATGCAAAAATAAATAATTCCTTTTATAATGTTAATTGATTAAATGCAAAAGTAACTGGGCATTGTATTGTTATTTGCTTGATTTAGCTGTAAGACATCAGTCTGAGTCTGAGATTTATGCTTTTCCCACAAAGAGCAAAAACTGGAAATAATTTTTGCAAAAGTTCTTAGCATGCAAAAAGGAAAATCAAGAACGTATCCTTGAATCTGTTTTACGCGCGTAAATGCCCTTCAAAATGCAAATAGTTGCTTACCACCATTGGGTGTGCAGAAAACCGTGAGCCTTACCGTTCCATTTAACTTTTATAAAACAAACATAAATCGAGTAAAATCACATTCGACTGTGTAAATAAGTTTAGAATTTTCTGCACAAAAGTCCTTCCAGCTGTGAAGAATATGTGAAATTTAAAGGAGACATCAGGTTTTTCGAGTGATTAACTTCCCTACCAGGAGGCGCTGGATTTTTAGTTGTTCAACACTTCGAATACTTGTTTAAGCTATTGAAAAGGATTCTTAATTTTATAAATACAACACTAAATTGTTGAGATTTTAATGTAGTGGTATATGTTGCACAAACAAAAAACACCAAAAAAAAGAGGAAAAAAAAGCAACTTCTTTAAAGATATCCAAAAATCGCAAAGAAAGATTCATATTTTTTGAAATTTTTTTTTTTGTATATTTTAGATTTTGTTTCGCTTGATTTCGCTGGTTAGACTTTAAAATGAATTTGAAGTGCGTTTGCTCCTTTAACCATTTAGAATTTATTTTATGCCCAAACCCATTCCAACTCTTATGTATTAAACCGTAGTTGCGGAGCAGCTCATGTGCGTTCTTGAAATAATCGAAAACATCTTTTCGACCAACGGACCAAATTGAATAAATCACTTGAACCCGTGCTCTCGTTCCGTATGTATTTTAAATGAGGCATACGAGTAGTGTATATAAGCACTGAAGTATATAAGTGCAATTTGCCATTTAATTTAAAAATATTTTTTAAGTATACTCTGAAGTAGTTTGAAGTACTGCGATTTTGCGGTATGCGCATTTCCAGTATTTTTTCTTCGATTTTTTCAACATAAAGAGCTCTTGAACTTAAAATCGAATTAAATGAATTTAAATAAACTCAAATATTTGAACGAGAACAGCAATCGTGTAATTTACGTACAAAATTGACCGTATCGATGCGTGAAAATGTGATTGAAAATCCCCATATGGATTCTACGTTACATTTTCAGTGACCAATTTAGTTTGATAGGTGTTAAAGGAAAGAGTTGGAATTATTAAAAATTAGTAGTTCTTATGAGTAATTTTTTTTGGATTGAAAAATGTTTTTTTAAACAATTAATCAGATAAAAATTTTGTGACATTGTTTATTTGCGCTATATAATACAATTCGTGAGATATTCTTTTAACTTTCTATTGTACATTGTGACCGAAAAGTTTCCGGAAAATTTTAAATAAAACGCAAAATTCTTAATCTTCATCAATATTTATTTTATCTCCTTCAATATGCTCCATTAGAAGCGATTACACAATGCACGTTTCTTCCAATCATCAAAACATTTTTTATAGGCGCTTTCCGGTATGGCTTTGAGTTCCCTCTGCGAATTCTGTTTTACGTCTTCTATGGATTCAAAACGCGTTCCTCTGAGTGGTAATTTGAGGTTGGGAAACAGGAAAAAGTCACACGGTGCAAGATCAGGTGAATACGGTGGCTGTTCGATGGTATTTATTGAATGTTTGGCCTTAAAATCGTTGATAATGTTGAACAAATTGAGGTGAATCGGAACAAGCCGGGCGTTGACACGTCGCATACACAAATTGTCCACCAAAATCAAACGAGCCATCTCACGACCGATGCCTAGCTCTCGTGCTATCTCTCTAACACTCACATGAGGATTTTTGAACACGATTTCCTTTGCCTTTTCAATGTTTTCGTCGGTGGTAGAGGTCGAAGGTCGTCCAGAACGCGGCATGTCTTCGACGGTCGTACGACAGTCCTGAAAGGCTTTGTACCACTCATAAACTTGAGTTTTCGATAAAACTGATTCCCCATAAGCCTTTTGTAGCATTCGCAACGATTCTGCACACGAAATTTCGTTCGAAAAACAAAATTTGATGCAAACTCTTTGTTCAATATTTTTTTCCATTGTTTTTTTCGCAACGCACTACTGAGGTGAACTGGTTTCAACAGCTGCCGTAAACGAACTGTCTGCGATCGGCTCCTTTTTGCATAGAATTAGGGACAGTGCTGCCAAACTACATAAACTTAAAATATCGAAAAATATACAGCGCGCGAATTTTAAATGAGAATTTCCGAAAGCTTTTCGGTCACAATGTATATTATACTGACAACTTATATATAAATCTAATCATCATATATCTAGTATAAAATAAAATTAATTTTATACTCTAATTGTCATCCCTATGCATGTCTATATTTGAAAGATATAGTACACACTGGAAATAAAGCCTTTTATGAATTAAAACGATTAACTAATAATAAATAATAAACGAATAGTAACAATATTTTGGAGAAAAGAAAACTAAAAATGCACAAAACATTGATTCGCCCAGTAGTCACATATGAATGCGAGACATGGAGATTAGCTGAAACTGAACCAAGCAAGGTAACTGTTTTTGAAAGAAAAATAATCAGAAAAATTGTTGGCCAAGTGAAATAAAACGTGAAAAAAAATTTTTTGGCCCCGTATCGCATAAGATAGCACCACGAGCTAGAACGGCTAGCTGAAGGTGATACAATCAACAAATTTATAAAAAACAGCGATTAAGATGGATTGGACATGTGATAAGAATGCCGGATATGAGAGTACCGCTTAAGATTTATGAGAACGAAGTAGGAACCAGCAGAAGAAGACGGTGACTGAGAAGTTAAAAAACTAGTTCATATACCTATACTCAAATAGTTTTTCCTTATTGTAGAGTATTGAATTAGAATACTGTCTATAAACGAATGTTGAGAGGTTCAAATATTATTCTTTCAATAATATTTATGTTTTTTTTGGTGTTTTTGAATATCATCTATCATTACTTCAAATTTAAATAAAATGTATTTGAAATAATAATGTAATGTAATGTAATATTCTGTAAAAATGCAAGCATATTTAATAAAATAAATTTATTAAAATTTAAAAAACCTCTTGCGAAGATAGTTAGGAACTAAATATGAACCTGTTATTGATATAGCGCATATGATATCTTAACCTCCGATGTCATTGCAACAAGATTGGTCTTTCCAAAGTGACAGAATATCAGTTTTTCCAGGACAAGTTTGAAGCTTCTATTCAAATTCTTTAATTTTTAGTTTTGACAAGAATGCTGTGACGGAATCTTCTGTTCCCATCTGATATTCAAGAACGAAGTATATCCTGCCTTTTATTCGATAAACTAAATGTCTTTCTTTTAGGTCGGGGTGCTTTAATTGCATATTATATAAATAAATGTCTACTGATTGGTATAGGTCAGTATCACACAAAAGATATGCTATGATCATATAATTCTTCATATAATTCCAAGTAGGTTCATTGGGAATATCTACTTGGAATTATATGAGCAGAACCTATGTTGACTGAAACGTTATCTAAAGAAATGTTCATAAAAAAATTAAGAAAGTTTATATTAAATAAAAAATAAATATCACTCACATAACTTAATATGAATTCTAAGTTCAGCTAGATTTTTGTATATATATATACTTGTGACAATTAATAATTTTTTATTGAAAATTAATTTTGCGTTAGAAAATACGTTGAATTTTATATATTAGTATTAGTTTCTAAGGAAAATAAAATTTTAAACCGAAATGCTATTTGTTATAAGACTTTCACGTAATTTTAAAAAGCAATATGTTTTCTTACAAAAATATTCAAAGTATCTAACTTCTCGTTAGTTTAAATTAAATGAAATGATTTGTTTGACAGTCTTAATGAAAAAAAATATAAACAATCCAGTCTAAAAGAAATATTTAATACATACACCCCTTTGGAATTCCTCTTAAAAATAATGTTTAAAGAAAGGTTGATTATAATTGATATGTGTATAAATTATATGTGTATAAATTTTTAAATTCTATTAATTAAAAAAAAACATTTCAATTATTAAATAATATAGCAAAAGAGACTATAATTTTTTTTGTTAAATGTGTAAATAATTATATACTATATATTATATATTTTGTGTTATATCTTGTATACTATGGTATATTATGGTGTATTAATATATGGTTTAACATATGTCATATAACATATACATATATATAATAGTATCAGTACACAGTATATACATATATTATTAACTTATTACAACGCCCAGTTATTAACTTATTAATTATCTACTACAAAACACGTCTTAGGTTTACAGATCTAGTTTGGATATAATTATTGGCATAATTAGAATTATATGACTCAATTTCTTTAAAATACTCACACAAATATTTTAAATAATTTCTTTTAAATAAATTCTTTCTTTAAATTTTAATTAAATTTTTGTCATGTGGCCTATATCATTTTAAAATAGCCGTGTATGCTTATTGGTATGAGTTAAAAATTAAATATTATTTATTATAATCTTGGATCTCATTAAATATTTTTTAAAATTGTAGGGTACAAATTAAAGATGGAATGTGGGTACAATTCTAAGATTAATCTTATTTGTGACTTTACAATGTTTTTTATAAAAAGGTACTGCCATTCTCTCAGTACAAAAATTTATTTTTATTATTATTTTCATTAGAAGTGAAGAAGTGCTATAGCATCACAACGGGAAATTACTTGTGAGCTTTGGCGTATAAGGTTGTCTCTAAAACCTCACCTGAATGAAGAGATAATGAAACATGTACTTCATTAATGAAAAGATGATTAAATTAAATTTTTAATTGTAATGTTAAGTCTTAATAAGTTTTTTTAATTTGTCTCTTCTATATGAGTTATAAAATAGAATTTTATATCAAAAAACAATTATTTTGTCTGGAATAAAAATTTTATTTTAAAGAAACGATAAATAAAAATTAAAACTAATTTTAATAATTATGTATCAGTTATAAAATAACTCAAGCTTAAGCATCAAAATACTATCAATGTACGATCAAAACACAACTTCATTTCCCACTGTAACTGCTTACTTAAAATCATTAAATATTTCATATAATATATGCACCTACTAAAATTCATGGACGATTAAGATTTATCATAAAATACTGACTGGTTTCGAAAGTCATGTAATTCATATTGCGGTGAACCCTTTATGAGCCCTCGTAGTTATTAAATTTAAACATCCTCCATATTTTTCGCGTGTTCGCCTCTAAATTGCCTGAAAATCGTTTCACCTCGTGGTCATGATAATCCCACTCATGCGGAATTTTTATCTTTAATTTTATTTTCATACTTTGGTTGCGTGTTTTAAAATTCCCTGACATAAACTAGAATTCCTCAAAACTTGTTTTCTTCTTGGTTTATATTTTTTTATTTTCTTAAATTTTTAACATATATTTTTGATACAATCCTAAAATTTTAAAATTGTACAGAGACTTACCTTTTTGATTGTTTTTAGTTTAAATAATCCAAATGTATGTATCCAATAGGCGAAGTATTTTTTTAAATTAATTTTATATTTTTAATTTAAATAAATGTATTTTTATTTATATATTTTAGTTTTAATATAGAAAAACTGTAAATAATTCAACTGAATTAAATCAGAGTCTTTATTATTAGTCCTTCTTCACTATTTAAATCACTTTTAACATGACAATCAAATATTTACTAATATATCGTAAAGCACAAGCCTGGTATTTCGTTAAATCTAAGATTCGCACAAATATATTTTCAATTCTACCGCTTACATCTACTTCCGTCTGCGTAGGAACGACGACTGCCAGCTGTTGTGTTAGCAAAGAGATTTTGAGCTCGTACTTCTTTCTCTTCCACGCAATATTTCAACCACTTTAGACAAGTCACACAAGTTCAATATTGAAAGAAAATTGAACGGAAACTCCAGGCACAACTCAGCTGACACCTTTGCCACTGGTTGCTTGGCTTGAGACTGAAACTGTACGGGCCGAAGTAAACTATGCTTGGATTCAACTAAATTTTATTATCCTTCAATTTACAGTACCTGGACTCCGTTAGAATTATTTTTTTATTGTTATATGATTTGAGATCAAAACAAACCGAAAAACTAACAAAAATATAAAGGAAGGATTTTGGAACCCTGGCTGTGACTAAAATCGTGCAATAATTATTTTGAAACAAATGGAGAAAGGATTTCAAGTAAAATCACAATATCATTTTTTCTTTTACTCAATTAATAAGTTATATTATAAATTATTAAAAAATTACTAAGAAATTATTTTATAAGGAAATAATTATAATGTTGGCTACCTACTCCAAAAAAATTAGAAGTAAATTTAATATACCTATATCTATCTACTATTTATATTATATAGATATATTATATTAGAGAAGAGCAAATAACAATATCTAAATAAAAGATAGCTAAATTGGTAAATGGTAATGAAAAAGATTTATCCCTTTTTCGTCCTTTATGTCGTACCAATATAAAAATGTTTAATACAAAAAAGTTAACAATTTTTTTTGTTTTAGCTCGGAGATTTCTGAGGTTTTAGAACATAATTACCAAAAACTTTAAATAATTGTGAATTTATGCCTAATCCAAAACTTTCTAAGTTTCTCCCAGTAATTACTGCCTGAAACAAATGTTATGGGTTACTTAATATGACAGCATGTCAAAATGTGGGAATCACAATCACAACCCGAAGTAAAAATGCAAATATATAGTCACGAGCATTGAAAAGTAGATCCAGACACATCAAAAGTATA